TGTCAAGGGCTAATACAAATGCTCTTCCCAGACTGCTGCCAGGTGTTCATTCTCTATGCCCCAGCCAGTAGCCTGAGCTGCAGGTATTACAGGTGTCCTGAGTGAAAGAGGGGGCCTGGGACAAGGGAAAGGAGCACAGAACTAGGAGGCAGAAGATGCAGTTCAAGGCCCTGTCTGCCACTTGCTGGGCCTATGACTCTGGGAGTGGTCACATCATTTGTCAGATCTTCAGGCCCTTCCTCTCTACCAAGAGGAGAAAGCATCTGCCCCGCAGACCACACGAAGCTCAGAAGTGATGAGGGATGGGAAAACACTTTGCAAACTATACAAATATGAGGGACTATAAGTAGAAAGCCATCCGTCTGATTTTGCAAGCTCAGACAGAAAGAGTCTCCAGTTTAAGGAATGGCATGATCCCATGAATGGGGTATGACTTGTGGTTAGAGGCAAAATTGACACTGAAGATGATCCCATGCAGATGACAGAGGAGAACTTTTGAACTCTTAGTTTGTGTCAGTCGCTGTCAGCTGTAAGCAGTGATATGCTGGTAAATGTTTAACAACTGGCTCGACGGGACAAAAAAGCCCTGAATTGTAACGTGCTGATTTCCATGGTGTAAATTCTTGCGCCATGGCTGATTTCAAGCTACCAATGTGATATCACAAAACCGTGAAGTGAGGAAAAGATGCCCACAACTGGCTCCCACCAGTGGGTGCAAGCCAGCTCCAGCACACCACAGAAACTTTGCAGAAGGCTGACATTGGTGTAATGAACTTTGGAATCCTTCTCTATATACGGGGTATAAATTTTAATGTACAGCTACAATGTCGGATCCTCCAATAATTCAAAAACAGGAATTCTTATTTTTATTTAAATTTGTACTTGGAATTTTTATAGCAAATCATAATTGCAAATTCCGTTATGGACATTGTTGAGGCCTCAGATATAAATCTATCATCCTTAGTAACATTCCTCAGCTTTCAAATCTGATAACATAAGAGATCAGTCAGCAAGGTGGAATGGAATACAGCATGAAAACGGAGTCAGAAAATGGAGTCGGAAAATCAGGTGTTAGCAATCCCATCTGTGTGAACTTGTACAAGTCACCTGCCTTCTCTGAGTCTCAGTTTCTACAACTATAGCATGGGAACAGCTCTGGGTTGCCTGTCTCACAGGACTATCGTGAGATCAAGGGAAATAATGCAAGTGCAAGAATTTTGAGAAAGCAAAACCCTATTTGGCTTTGCATGATGATTATTTACTTCAAAAATTGATTACTGGACATTGTTATTCATAATAATTATCACTCTATGCTACATTGGTCAAGCCCTGCACAGGAGCTAGCATCCTCTATGCAGAGTGCAAGCCCCTACGGTGTCTCTGCTAACTATAGCCGTGCTCAGGTGGGGCCTGTGTGACACGAAGAGAACAGCCCCCGGGGCCTGTGGGGCAGCTTAGCTCTATTGCACTGGGCTCAGGGGCAGTGGAAACTGACTGTGTCTACACGCCTTCACACCAAATGGCCCGTGGAGGTTAAAAACAAGATCGAGTCCATGCTTAGTCAATCTAGAACTGTAACAGAACCACGGAGGAGGTAGGCAATGGGGCCTGTTTGAAAATTTTCCCCAGCCAACTTTAAGACCATCTTTGAGGCAGAGGTCTGGGGGGTGTGTGTGGGGGGGGGGGTGGAAGATGGGGAATCTGCGTTTGAAACAAGCGCCCCAGTTAATTCAGATGCACTTGACAAAAATTCTATATGATGTGAAACTTGATGCAGTGGAGCAAGGAAAGAATTCTCCATCCAGGCTATGCTAGGTACTTGATAGAAAGTGATATCTCTTGAGGGAAACCCGGGGTATGCAGAGAGACACCCTTAGAATTCATTTCCTGGCGGGGCTTCTTCTTTCCCTTAATATAATATTACTGGCCCTGCCCCTCGCCCCACACACACGCAGGATGGTCAGGTATACAGATTTGCCTGGTCGGGCACACAGAAAGTCAGCCACTGAGGCCTCTGCAGACCTCTGCAAAACCATTCATTGTCAGCCACCAGCTCCTACCAAAGGCCAGCACAGAGAGATGATTTCAGAGAGGTTTATCTAAAGCTCTGGCTATTCACTCACTCCTCTAGATATCTTAAAGAAAAAGTTCTGTCGATCCCTGTACCACTAGTCAACACATCCTAAACTCGACCTCACTGAGCCATGTAAAACAGTGCTCTATCTTTCTTCCACCCATTCTTTCAACAAATACTTATCAGCCTCCACGTATGTCAGGTACATGTGTAGAGTTGGAAATCTAGGATGGGTGGGATTCCATTTCTATCTTCAAGGAGTTAATATTCTTGGACAATTTAGAAACTAAGCAGTTACAGCTTCATGTGGTAAACATGCTAAGAGACACCCAGGTACCAGGGGATACAGAGGGGTGAACCTGATGCTGGTGGGTTTTGAAAGGGGATCAGAAAAGCTTCCCAGAATGGAGGTCACCAGGTTTGCAAAGAAAGAGGGATTTCTGGACAGAAGGAATAGCATGTGCAAAGCACAGGGGCATGAGCAGTGATGTGTCCTGAGGAAAAAGGAGACTCTGTTAGAAAATTTGTCGGAGGTGTGGCAGTGGCCGAGGCTGGAAACTAAGCAGGTGAAAGGACTTCTCTGCCAAGCCAGGAGTTTAGATTTCCCTTGAAGGCAAGGGGCAGCCTTTGGAAGGTGTCCAGAAGGATTAGATTTGCATTTTTTATAGACCAGTTTCTAGAGAGGCAGAGTGGAGAACAGGTTGAAATAATAAGAAGGCAAGTTAAGAGGACATTGCAATAGCCCAGGTGACAGATGGTGAGGCCTTGACCGAAAGTGGTGATGATGAGGGTGAAGACGAGAGGAGGGATTTAAACAAAACCAAGGAGACAGTCTCCAGAAGAGACTGGGTGTGGGCTGGAGGCTGGGGAAGGGGTCATCTAAACAACCTGAGATTTTTCTAACAAGAACAGCTTGTGTGTATGATGTTTTAACCAAGATAATGAACACAGGAGGATGAGCTAATTTCAGAAAGAAGTTAACAAGTTCAGTTTGGAATGTGTTCAGTTTGAGGGGACTCTAGAATATCTAGGTGAAGAAATTTAGTCAGTAGTTAATATGGGTCTGGAGTTCAAAAGGGGGAATGAGATGGAAATGTAAGAAGAAATTTCCTGCATTAGATGTAAAACTCTTCTAGGCATATTCATTACCCTTGAGAATTACTCAGTATTAAATTCATTTTCAAGACTAGTACCAGAAAAAAAAATTTAAACAATCAGGACACTCCCTTCAATCAGAAAACGAAAATTAAAAATTACGTAAGTCATCATGGGTTTTTTTTTTTGCCCTGCCTCCCAGGAAGCTCAGAGTTATATTTAATACTCAGTTGCAATATTTATATAAGCCTCATAACTAACATAGTTGCTTTCTTGCCATTTTTATCGCTTTAATTTTTGATTTACAATTTAATATCCTCAGTGTTTGTCCCATATTATAAGTTGCCTCCCCTTCTCTTTGGAAATAAAAAGTATGTATGTTTTTATCCGGTATTATTAAGTTAAGGCTGGACCCTATCCACTTTAAACATTTTTTAGGCTCCTGAGAAAGAGTTTCTCTTTACAATCTGTGAGAGTAACTATTTTTTTCCCCAGGTACAAGAGAGGAAACAAAAAAGCCCTCTTTGAAAAGGTCCGTGGGGACCAGTTAGAGCCAAGGGGGCCAGAAACTTACAGATCATTATAAAAAGCTAGATCCACTGATTCAAAGAGAGCATCCAGAAGGAATGAGGAACAGTATCTGAGCAGACGAGGCCAGCCCAGCCCCTTTCCTCCTTCTCAGCCAAGTGGCACTCTTTCCTCCCAGGTTGAGGCAGGGCCACAACATAAATAGCATCATAGATGGTTTGAGTAAATTCCTTTCAGGTTATTAAGGGCTGCTTTTAACCTTTGAGGAAAAAGAAGATGCCAGAATAATAGCGATTGTTATACTTTTAAAATGCCCTCGCGTCATCGTCTCACTTAATCCTCTTCAGTGTTCCGACAGGTAGGTAGGGTGGGAACTGTGATTATGCACACTTTGTGGCTATGTGTCCTCTTGCATAACGTTCTTGGAGGCACTTTTAGGAAAAGAATGCTGGGCTGGGCTTCCTTCCCTCCTCTAAGACCGTTCATGGTTAAGGAAGTGTAATAACAAGAGTAAAAATGATGCCCCCTGATTTTCGGCTAGCACTTTCAGTTTCCAGAGCAGTGTCACTTCCATCATAATATGTGACCCTCACAACCACCCCTTGAGGTAAGCTGGGAAGGATTTATCACCTCCGTTTCATGGACACAGAAACTGAGTCTCTGAGAGGTGCACAAATTTGTTGTGCCCCCTCTGAGCTGGGTTTGCAGAATTAAAGGGAGAATCCTAAAACGCTGTGCTCCGAGATGTGCCCTCGCTGTGCCTAAAGCTTGGAGTTCACTCTCACCTTCAGAGGGAGGCCCCACTTCAGGCTCCAACAGCCCACTTACTGGCATAGTGAGATGCTAATGATAGAAACCACCAAATGAGCAGTTCTAACTCATCTGACTTCCTTCTTCACTAATGAATGCAGTCACTTTGTCCCACAAATTCAGGAGAGGGTTAGGACCCCGTCTTTCCTTCTGAGAGAATTCACCTCCCTCCGGTTTCACCAGATAATGGGCCTAAGCAGTAGCCAGTCAATAAAGCAGCCATTTAATGAATTTTCAAAGGAATCAATGAAATTTAGAATAGTGGAGAATAAATAGGCCCCACAGAAGATCTTCTTAGCCATGTGGCCTTTTGCAAGTCACTTCACCTCTCTGCGTCTTGGTACCATCTGCAAAATGGGTCAATAATAACCTCTGTCCTGCCTCACTTCATAGGCTGGTTATGAAGATCACAGTTGTGTATTATTAGCACCTTATAAATGTATTCTCGGAATATGAGGGATACTTAACCCTGTCCATGCAGAATATTCCAAACCTGTAACTCCAGGGGCAGGGAGGTAGCCTGGGAAAAGCATGGGTCTCATGGGTCGGGTTGCAGTGGGCCTGGCCTGTGCAGCATGACGGCCTGTATCGGTGGGAAGAGAAACATGGGGTGATGTCACAGCTACACAACGCCCCCCCATCCACATACATCCAGGCTGACAAATGTCATCAGAAATACAGTCAGAAATTCCTTTCAAAGAATCAATTAATTCAATCATTTTATCCCCTGGGGAAGACAAAATGTATATACTTCTTGTAATCAATCTATCCCACAAATTTCTTGAAACTTTAGTCAGAGAATTTGCAAAATGCTAAATCATAAACATTTTTTTAAAGGTGACAGACAAGAAGTGGGAAGGAAACAGAGGGCTTGTTAGTACATGCAAATGAAACCATCTCCCTGGTCTTTAAAGAGTTCTGAGGAACTCTTAATGTTCTATCAGGAGACTAGAATTTTAAAATCATAGGCAAGAGAGCCAGAAAACCTCGTAGAGGCCGTTTTTCTCCCTTATCCTCCCCCTACCCATTGAACAGAAGAGGAAACTCAGACTCAGAGAGATGTGACCTGCGTACAGTCATACCACAAGGCAGAAGCAGATGAAAGCATGAGTTGTAACTGCTGCATCGAATCCCACACAGATTTACTGAGAACCGACTAAATTCTCGCAGTGGAAACAAAGCTTAACAAGCCAGAGAATCCATCTTCAAGAAACTCAGAGTCCATTAGGGGAGATAAACATGTAAGCAGATGATTCTGGCATAAAGTGGTATGTGCAACATTAACAATGATAGAAAACTTTATGGGGACACACAGAATGCAGAGTGGCTGATTCTGCCTAGGGTTCTCAGAGAAGGCTACAGCAGATAGAGTGGAAGAGTATTCTAGGTAAAGGGAACAGAGTGAGCTAAAGCAAGGGATAGAGAAAGAAAGAACACAGCTTGCGCTGAGAGCCACACACAAATAGTTTGAAACGGCTGGAGGGTTTATAGAAAGTGCTTCAGAACAATCTCAGGGGATGTCAACAGGTCTCAGCTGCCATCCTCCACCTGATTTGGCATGTTCCCTAGGGCCGTAGCTTGCATCCACCTAATGGACCAGCACAACACCTGGCCAAGTGCCGATGGCATTGTGGAGCTTAATGAATTCCCTTTGAAGATAAAAGATTGAGCAGGAGAAAAAAATTTGCCACTCAAGTGAGTCAACTGGAACAGAAGGTGTGTCCTGGCTTCTCAGGCCCAGTACTCTGGCTGGTTGACCAGACAGCTGGGGTCACTTCCCCTGGGCCACTGGGTTCCACTTGGAAACACTGAGACTTTTTTCCACAAGTCGTTCCTAAGCCACAACACTTCTGGCTCACCCCTTGCCTTCGAGTTTTACCAGCATAATTGATCCCAGAGCTCAGTTTCCTCCATACCTGTTGGTTTCCGAGGGAATGATGGTATAGTCAGGATCCCTACAGCGCCAGCACACCTCAGCCTTGGGGTAATGGCACAGAGGGACATGTAAGAGGCAGACATAAATAGCCCTGAGTTGTGTTGTCATCCTTTTGGGTGCTCTGAGCTTCCTGTCCTGAGCTAAGCTTTTCTCTTGGGGTTAGCTGAGGCATGAGAGACAAATAAAGCTTTAAAGTGACTCTCCCTATTGGAAAGCTAAAAGCACTCCTGACACACTGCTTTTTCCTACATCCCCATGAATGTGTCCCAGCCTTCCCAACCTCACACCTTGCGAAGACTCTCCAAGGTACGTGTGGGGAGAAGAGTGACCACTTGAGTACGAAACTCCCCTCGGGTGTCCTTCTATATGTTGGGTCTACAAAATGTCAAAACAGCCAGGCAAATCAGGCCAGGATCCGTCGTGGCAGAGGAAACCAGCCACCCCTGAATTTCAGCACTGAGAAGCCCAAACAACCCTTAGTGACTAAGGGTTTTTCCACTTACACCTGGTTCTTTTGCTTTCACTACACAATTGTCCCAGCAAATGAGATCCTTGAGTAAACAAAATAGATCCTTCACAAATTCTCTTTTAAGAACACATTCCTTAGCCTACTACAGATATTTAGAGTCAGAGAACATTCATTCACACAGGCTTTTCAAAATACACCTCCAAGCCATTTTTGCCATGCAGAGGCTGTGATCTGAAAAATCAAGTGTGTGCAGAAGCAGGCTGGCTCGCAAGAGAATGAGAACTGAACAATGAACAAAATTAAAAGCAAGTCACAGATGCATTTACAACTTATGTAACTGACAAAGGATTAATACTCAGAATACAGGGAGAGAAATCTTACACATCCGCAAGAAGAAGGAAAAAACAACAGAAATAAATTGGCAGACTGTGAGAACATGCAGATCACAGAAAAGGAAATGATCCTTAGCATATGGAAAGATGCTCAACTTCACTAATAATCAAAGACCTGCAAATTTAAAACTTAAGAGATGTCATTTCACATCCATCAGATTGGCCAAAATTTTTTAAGTCTGGCAATATAAAGTGTTTCTATGAAGATACAAAGCAACAACAAAGCCCAAACACACTGATGGTAGAACTGCAAATGGGTACAACCACTTTAGAGAGAAATTTGGTGATACTAAATTTGAGGTGGCATATACCTTATAGCCCAGCAATTCCACTCTCAAGTATACAACTGAGAGAAATTCTTGCATATATACACAAAGAACTTTATAGAAAGATGTTCACTGCATCATTGTTGATAAGAGGGAAAAGAAACTTAAAAGCCCATTATTAGGGAAATGCTTAATAAATTGTAACACATTCCTAAAAAATGAATATGATATAGAAGTTAAAGTGAATAAGGTAAAACTGATGTACTCATATCAATGCAGGTAAAACAATAACAATGAATGAAAAAAGCAATTTGGAGAATACATCAATATTATATCATTTACGCAAATTTTAGAAGTGAACCAACACTATGTATTGTCCTGGACACACACTTATGGAGTAAACGTACCAAACATGGACAGGACAGAAGCTTACCATCTTTGGGTTGGTAGTTGTTCTGGGGGAAAAGGAGAAGGGTTGGGAAGAGGTGAGCTGCAAAGGAACTCAGTTATTTTTGGTGATGTTTGTTTCTTTAAAAGGCTGAAGGAGCTGTAAGGAAGTGTTAACATTCCTGAAAGTCAGGGTGGTGGGACCATGAATGTAGAGGTTGGGATAGGTTAGGTTTTGCTGCAGTAAAAAAACCCTGAATCTCAGTGGCTTCTGACAACGAAGGTTTGTTTTGTGCTGATACATGTTGGACTGGCAGAGGAGCTCTGCTTATTGTTGTCACATTGGGACAAAGGCTGACAGAGTGGTCAACACCTCCTTGCCGGTGGCCATGCAGAGGGAACGAAAGAGCAATTACATGCTCCCTCCTAGAAGCGACATGGGTAGCCTCCTCTCACAAGGAATTGGCTAGAACTAGTTATATGGTCCTACCTTGCCCAAGGGGGCCAGAAAGTGTAATCCCACCATATGCCCAGTGGGAAAGAACTGGAAATATTTGGCTGACAGCAAGAAAGTTTACCACAATGAGTGTTTATTACAGAACTTGTTTATTAGAACTTGTCATCCTCTTTTACGTGTGTGAATTATGTTTCATATTTTATAAAACAGAAAAAAAAAAACCTCCGGTTTGGGAATCAGGAGGCTTGGGCTTTGGTATGAGGAATGGGAGACAAGAGAGACAAGGTGGGTGGACAGAGGTAGCAAGGCTGTCACTCCAAGGGCCTGTTCCGGGGCCCGTCACCATGACTGTCATACCCACACTGATGCTGCAATTAACCCTTGTTCAGAAACAGATCTCCGTGTAAACGACTCTGAGCGGGTCAACCTTCCTTGCTTTTATTTGTACCCGCGGAGGCTGAAGTGGCAATAGGAAGCCTGTAACAAAGAGGTGTGGTGCCAGAGCATGGACGATAAAGTCCAAAGATTGAACTAAGTCTTAGGTCCACCACTCACACTTCCTGCCACCTTAAGCAAGTTACTCTGCCTCCAGGGTACCTTTTCCTCATCTGTAAAATGGGCACAACAATAACACCAACATCTCTGAATAGTTGTGATAAACAAATGAGGTATGTAAAGTGCTTTGTAACTGTAACGTGCTGCACAGACGTTCACTATTATTAATGACCTAAATTTTGCTGCAAGGGAAGCCTCAGGCCAGATTTACATTTCTGGCCGACGATGACTCATACAACTTCCCTCACCAGAGCCACCTGGTTGACAAAATAGGCCCCGGCATCATTCTGTGGTCCAACCGCTTGAAGAATCTATTGATTTCCTCTTGTGAAAGTGAGTCTGGGAGAAGGGATTAACTTTATTGCAGTTTCTCTGGGGAGAATAAGGGAGGAGGACTTGGAAGGGGAGCTGGCCCAGGCCTAGATTGAAGCCTGGGTCCCTGGGATTCATCAAATAATTAAGCTGGAAGAGTCTAGAAGGGAGAGAACAGCTTTTCCAATCTCTTCATTTCCCAAATCAAGAAACTGAGGACAGGAGAGACGAAAAGGATGGTCTGTCTCCAACAGCGATAGATAGAGAATCAAGAGAGCCGGCACCCACCCTGGGTTCTTCCATCAACTCAGGGTCACCAGGGCAAACCTTTTATGCCAAATCCTTCGATTTCCTCACGTGCAAAGCAAGGGGATTGAACTTGACCCCCACAGTTACTTCTAATGCTTGCTGTTTTAAGAACACTCAATTCTATCAAATATGAAATGCAGTAGAGTCCTCCTTAAAAGTGAGCTTTCTGGTTTGGGTTATTGATTTTACAGTTCTGACTCTCAGGATTTCTCTTCGTGTCTCCGCACACCCTGAATGCCACCTGTTTGCCTTGCTCACTATCTGCTGAATGACTGCTTCTTGGTGTCTTGCCTTTCTTTCTGTTAGCCCTTGCAGCCCTAAGGTTCTGGACTTGACCCTTCCCTAACAAATGTCCCTACCTTCCAGTGTTACCTGCTCTGGGCATACGGCCAGAAGGACCTTCACTGGGCAGCAGAGAACATAGGACATAAAGCAGCTCACAGGCATCTGAGTCTGGCCCCAAAAGCCACTCCCAGAGGATGCTTTGCACAGCAATATCA